AGGTCTGAGCTCCGGAAAGAGTTTCTATTTGTCCAAATTTGTGGGTAGAAGGGGATTTCCTCTGTGGTAAGAGTTGGTTCAAATCTGCATTATGTTGATCATGACATAGAAGAGGAAATGTGGCCCGTACTCAGAGACATGCAGTTCATCCCAAAGGTTTTTTAATTGTCTCTGGTTAAATAAAGTCAAATAAGTATGTTCTCTATGAGAAGTTCTCCATGAGAGCTGGAAACTAGTCTTAACAGTTAAATGAATAGGGCTGGGGATTTAGCTCAGAGGTATAAGCGCCTCCATTGTGATGGTGAGTTCGAACCCCAGTACCAAAAAAAAAAAACCCCACAATTGAATGAATAAGCTGGCATTCACTGGGCACTTACACTGGCATAGGGTTGAATGTGTTCACATATTCTTCTGGTTCCTTCACCTTTCCCATAGATGTAACTGGAAGCTGCTGTATCTCAGACCTTCTTTTCTTTTCTTTCTCCAGGACTTCATGCAGTCTAATCACTTGCCCAGGTAGAAGCGAGACGTGTTGGGGCACAGATAGCTGGAACCAGTTAAATAGTAGGCAGAATAGAAAGCTAAACGATGTGCTGGCTTTAGTAAAGATAAGGCTTTCATGATTCTAAGGAACTTTAGTCACCTGGTGCAGATGAATGGGTAGAATCATGAATAATTTTCGTCCAGGTGAGTGTCTTACAGTGACCTCTAAACCAACTAGAACCTGTACACAGAGCTCACCCTTCTTCTAAGAAATCTTCCTTTTGAGCTGGTCCCAAACCACAGTACACCTGCCTTGTTCACAAGCTAATTTGAGTAATGATGAAAATCTCAGTTTTTTGGTAGTGGGAATTGAACTCACAACCTTGTGCTTACCAGGCAAGCAGTTGAGCCATTGAGCTAAATCCCTGGCCTGAGAGTCTTAGTGTTTTTCCTGAGCTCACTGGGTTCCTCAGTGAGTGTCACTCAAGAGCACTGACAAAGTGCCTTTTGTTCACAAGTAAACTTAGAATAAACACCATACGATGGCCATATGAGAGAGAGATAAAACTACCCATGAGACAGCAAAGGGTCAACATGACTGTTTGTGTTTCAAATATTTATTCATATGCAAGAATTGCAATTGTTCTCTACGTGCTAGTTGGGTTTGCTGTTACCTTTTCTAGAGGTATATTTTGGGTTAAGTCATCTGCATGTATCCTGATTGTCCAACTCCCAGTTGAGTCCCAGGGTGGCCCCAAATTCATGATCATCCTTTTCAGCCTCCTGAGAGCTGAAAGCTGGAATTTCAGATTCTACCATGCTTGGCTAATTTAGTCCCTATCTATGCCCAGCTACATTCTCTTGGGAGATGTATACTTTGCTGGATGCATCACCAGGAGTCTGCAGGTGACATCTCTGTTTCCCATATTAATTTTCACAGGGGAGTGCATTCCTTCCAGGGGGCACACAAGAAAGTTCATTAAGTGTGGCATCCAGCATCTTGGTAAAGTGCTTACTTTATGCATACTGCAAAAACTTCACTTCACAATGAACTTTGGTTACCACTGTTTAACTGACCCTAATAAACATGGAAAATATTCGTATCTTCTAACTGTGTCAGAGAAAATGCTGTTTTGTGGGAAGGAGCTGTTATCAAAGAATCTCTTCTTTCCAAAACAGTTGCTTTAGTATTTTGGTCAAAGAAATGGTAGTTATCTTGTTGCAACAGTTAACTCAGCCATAGAGGTTACTATTTGCTTTTGATAAAATGCTGTCCAGTTGAACAGATAAGTATCTCTTTGTTTTAAAACTCTCTGAACAAATGTGTAAAGGTGAATTTGCATTTTGACCATCTCCTTTTTATATTGTATATGTTATTCATAAAATCCATCCCAGTAAGCATTTCATAAATACAAAATAAATAAGAAATTGGAATTATATGCAAGTTACTGTGTAAGCCATAAATGTTGGAATATACAAAATCTTTAACTGTCAAAGATAAGAGGGAAAAAGTAGCTCTTCCTGACTACCTACCATTTGTTAGCGTCTCACCTGGTCAGTTTTCTTCATAATTATCATCATAATGTGAAATGATCTCATTTGCTTACTTGCTTGTTTTTCCCCCTTTCCACTCACCTGATGAAAAGATAATTTTCAGAGGCAAACGCAACAGTTTGGATCTGTCTTTTTCAATCGCCGTATCTTTAGCCACTTTGTCTTTTTCAGTTCTTATTTTTTATTAGTACATGTTTGCAGTACATAGCGATTACATTCCTCATGAGGAGCTGGTACATGTACACAGCACATCATTACCTTTCCCTCTCTACTCTCCCCTCTCCTTCTGTCTCTGGGACCCTTTCCTTTTGCAGAAGGCCTGTCTCGCTATTTCTTATTATCTGTCACTGAATTTGCTCTTTATTTATATTATGGGTTTCTCACATAAGAGAAACCGTAAGATATTTTAGCTAGTGTGTCAGATTAATCTCACTTGACATTGTGGTCTCGAGGTGCATCCATTTTCCTACAAATGACTCAAGTTTATCCTTTTTTATTCTTCCTCCATTTTCTCTCTTCATGGTTCACAGCAGGTGTTCAGCAAATATTTCTGAGTAAGTGGCTTAATCATAAGTAAAGACTTTCCTACCTCTTTCACTGTAAGAAGGAAGCCTCTCCATTCTTCCCCACTTTCTGTGTTCTCTGTCTATAGATGAAGACAAAAACAGATGAAGAAAACAAGTGGTCATGAGTATTAATGCTTTATTGACTTTAAGTAACTTTAGGGTTTCATGATTAATTTATGACAAGATATGTAAGCCATTAACCCAACAATATTGATAAAATACACATTCTTCTATTGAAGCATGCTGTTTAAAAGTCAATCGTTATATTTTAAATCACTTAGGATCAAACAATGAAATATTTTATTTTCCTCTTTGCATAAACCATTAAAATTCATTTGTTATGAAACATTCTTTAATCAGAAAATAGAAATGTATACCTTTAATCTGTTATTTAAAACAAGAGTTGTGTGAGTTTATACTCAAAAATTAAATGCTAACCAACCTGTTACTGCAGTAACTCAGTTAATGCTTTTTCTCTTCATTGGTATTTAACATTGACTGGCTTGAAGAGAGGGCAACCAGTATAGGTAGGCACTTCCAATTCTTAACTCTAAAATATCACTGTTGTTACTACTGTTAAAATAATACCTACAGATCTACTTAAGTGCTTATAATGTCAACTACTGTTCTCAGCCTCTGGCAGATACTCATATACTCTTGTTAAGTACACATTGTTCAGAGAAGGCCCTCTACTCCCCACAGCCAGCCTGGAGGCCAGAGTGGAGTCAGTCATGCTAAAACTCCACATCACTGAACCAAAACCGAGCTGGTACCTGACCTGGAGAAACAAAGAAACAAATAACAGCCAACTTTGCCAGACAGGCCACTTTCGTTTGGCATTATACATGAAGTTCCTTCTCTCTTAATTCTCACACAAAAAGAAGGAAACCTGAAATAAAAATTTATTTTTCTACTGCCTGGTTTTCTGTCATGCAACCTGCTGCTTTTTTTTTTCAGATTTTTTTAAACTCTTTCTCTGTCAGTGACATCTGTCTCTTCAGGCTAGCCCATTGGAACACTGATTCTAATTTATGGAACTGCAGTACTGCCCAATTCTGAAATAGGAAAGCTAGTTAAGATCTTTCAAAGACATTTTTATAATTTTGACCTTTGATAGCTTTTATAGTTTTATAAGTAAAAAGTGAAAGGTACTTCATTACTTTTTTTTTTTTTTTTGGTATTGAGAATCGAACTCATAACTTCATGCTTGCCAGGCAGGCACTTACTTCACTGAGCTAAATCCCCAGATACCATTATTATTTTACAGATTTCTTTATTTAAAATATAATTATTGTCTTTAAAAGTGGTGCACACTAACTTAGATGTTTGTTTACATCAGGTGTAGGGAGCCGAGCGACAGCCCATTGCTGCCTTCCTGCCTCTCTCTCCTATGGACACTGCGTCTGCCTACATTAACCATAATCCTCTCCTGCTTACATCATGTACCAGGATGTGACGGTGACCCTGTTGTATTCATCCCCTTAACCTCTTTCTGTCCTACCTCCCGCCCTTGGCCTATAAAAGATGTGATCACTTCCTCAATAAACGGAGGCTTGATCGGATTATTTCGACTTGCTTTCATCTCTCTTTGTCTCCCCTATGTCTTTTATTTAATCCCCGTTCCCCCTCCAGGAATTCCCCATGGATTGATCTGCAGGCCGGATCAATCAGGGAACAAATATATTTGTTTTCATGGAGTTTAGGGTCTGGCAAGGAACAGTAAATAATAAATATAACAGTGTATCTGATAGTATCAGGAGAAAATAAAAATAAAATTTAGATCAGGGTAAAACAGATCGATAGTACGTTTAGGGAGTAGAGAAGAAGAAAGTTTGCACTTTTGGGCCTCAGTGAGACCTTTACTTCTGGGTGAAGAAACAAAGTTATAAAAAGTTGAGTAACTTGCCTACAATCCCATAGCTAGCACATAAATCAGCCTGTATTTAAATCTAGGTGTTTGACTTTGGTCTTGTTCTCTTAACTGCTACAATCCATAAGTTACCTTGAATGTTTGCTTACAATGTAGACTCTGGGTCCAGGAATTCAACTTGGAATTGAGTTGTTCAATTCAAGGGCAACTTTTAAAAAAAGTCCCAAGTAGGATTCCTGACTTTGTCGGGATACAGAAGTATAAGGTTTCATTATGCTTCACGCTAAATAATTGAACATGCTGTTCTAAAATCCAATTCCAAAACCCAATCCTTGTTAATTAAAGGGAAAAAGATATTAACAAAGTATAAGATTTAACACCTCTTATAACTTTTTTATTTCCGTTATGAAGTATTATGAAATAAGTGCACTTTGTAAGCCGAGCTCTTTACAGACTCCTGTCCCCTCACTCACCTTCAGGTGCACTTCCTCTTGTGGCAAAACGAGGGTGAAGTTTGCACAATTCTTTTCAACAGAATTCTGTTCGGTAAGGCGAGTGAAGTTTAGTATGTCCAATTTGTCAACATACTGCAAAGATAAAGGACAGTCCATTAAATTATTTCATGGATAATACACATTGGGTCTAGCAGGAAGGAAAAATAGTGTTTTGTCTTCAACTGATTTGTACCCTGCGTGAAACCCTGGCTTTCCCAGCCCCACAGGGTATTGGGAAATAAGTTTTGGTGTTGAATCTGATTCATAGTGTTGTAGGCAGCTGAGCTGGTTAGAAATATAATAGGCAGTGAGACAGGGCTCGATCCTCAAAGGAGCCAAAGCAGATACCTTACAACTGTGGGGGAGACAGACACCTCCTGCTGTGGGCTAGGCCTCAAGACCAAGAATCAACAAATGTGTCTACATACTAAAAATTGATATTCTAATTAGTTCCCTATCACCCTGGAGTCACTATCTCACTCCCCCAGGGGAAAGGTAACACTCCAAAAATGCCCGCTTCCTACCTGACTTGCTTTCCCATTTGTCCCTAATATAATCAATTTTACCTGAACTATTAATCTTATTGGCTAACTATAGTTATGTCCCACCTTATGACCATCTGCTTTGTGAGTTCTCAGTCTTTTCCCACCTTGAACCCGTCTTGCTCCATGGTTTTACTCTATAAAAGTCCCTGGAAAAGACAGTCTTGGGCAACCTGCTCAGGACCACTGCCATCTCTCTTCAGACAAAAGCTTTCTTTCTCTCAATAAGTATATTCTACTCTTAACCTCCATTGTTCCTAAAATTCATTCTTTGATTTTAGAGAACACAAATTTGCAGACACAGTAGGTCAAGAGTTTCATTACTCTACATCAATAGAAGTTTGTGAAAGCTAATTGTTAAATTTTCACAAATTTTGCAAATGAGTTGTAGAACACAGTTATTATTAAAAATTAAAACATTAAATTATAATAAATTATATTATTAAATTGTATAAAACAATTAAAAACATTACATTGCAATGATACATTCATATCCATGTTTATAGCAACAAAATTTGTAATAGCCAAACCCTGGAAACAACCAGGTAGTCATTAACAGATAAATGGATAAAAAAAATGTGTTTACACACAATGCAGTATACTCTGCCATAAAAAAGGGCAAACTTGAGTCATTTGAGGGAAAATGGATGCACCTTGAAACTATAACATTTAGTGAAATAAATCACACTCACAAGTTTAAATATTGCATAGTTTTACTTCTATGAAAAACTCAGGTATAAACAAAGGAGGTAGGGAGGTAGATGTTGCTTGGATGGGAAGATCGAGAATGGAGGGAAGAAGAGGAGAGGAGGGCGGGGAGGGAAAGGTGGTGAAAAAGAGATTAAATTGTGTTCTGCACCTGTACCAACTCCACACAAGGAATGGAAATATTATGTACACAAAACATGAAATTTTTAACAATGAAAACTGTAACTAGAAATCTAATTATTACTTTCGAATTATATTACTACATTTTGCTATTCTCTGTGTGTTTGAGGTTATTTACATCTTTGTACTGTGTGGTGAAAATATTGCATAACAGCGTAGCTACAGCGCTTTCCTTTGAAACTCCAAGTTCAGTGAAGTCATATGCAAAAGTTGAAATGAGACGTGACAGAAGTTACACAATGGGAAATATTGGTGCACCTCTTACAAATCATATTTTGATTTATTGTTTTACTTATTGTCCCTTCTGCAAAAGGACAAGTAGTAATTACTTAGGCACACATACAATCTTTATTGCAGATTCTTTGTTTTTGTTTTACTTTATAACACCTTAAAATATTTTTTAAAATGCTTTGCTCACAGACTATAAAAGTCAGACTACAAAAAAAAAATGTCATACTACAGCCAACTTTGACCCAAAATCCACTAATGGCTGAGACACTAGTCTACACTTCAAAAAATAAAAGGCAAAATGTTAATAACGCAACTGAAATTTCAAAATTTATTGTGTCTGATGCCATTTCACTATAGAGAAAAAAATGGATAAAATATTGTTTCAGAATTTAAAAATGTGTAATTCAGAGAAGCTGAGTCAGCGATAATCAAGGAACACTCTTGGGAATCAATTGCCCATATGAAAGGCACATTAAGCAGTATTGTGAAATTTTAAATTGTTCACTATACTTTTTTATATCACTAATAGTCATTATAAATTTGTGTACATACATTCATATAATTTTTTCTGGTATTACCAAGGATTGAACTCACAACCTCACACTTGCTGGGCAGGCACTTATGCCACTGAGCTAAACCCCGAGCCCAAATATTTTTTCTAAGAAGTCATTGGTTAACATTTCATACACTATTGGCCATGAATAGCCTATTAAGAAATTCCTATTTCATCCAAACACAATAAAAATATTTCTTCTGGACAATCTGTGTGGACTGATCTGAATGCAAAACAGACTACAGTTGCCGTGAGTGTAGAAAAATTCCTTTTGTATGATTTTTAGGGAGTCTTTTGCTAAAGTAGCTTCATGCTTGACTTGCCTCTTTTTATTTTGTCTATATTCTTATTAAGTCTCCTTGTTTGATTTTCTAAGTAAAAGACAGCAAATAAATACTGTACAGAGCTAATTCTATATTGAGATTGAGGTAAATTTGGGTTGGGGTTTACCTGTTTATTTTCAATAAATGGAAAAAGTAGTAATGGAAAGAAGGATTTAATTTAAATTAAACACTTTTGTTAATGGCTTGTCTGATCTAGCTCGGTGAGTTTTGCCACAACAAAGAGGAAGCAGCAGAGGAAGAGGTGGCGGAGTTAGATAGACTGTGTGGGCTGATTGGGGATTAGAGAGAAGGAAGTTGTATCTTCTATTTTTAATTGTAGTGTTGTACAGAACCTTAGATGTCATCTCTCTAACCCAGCTCCCACCTGGGCAGACCATGCTTCAGGATCTCTCTCCGTGTAGTCCTTCTTCTGGTGGCTGGATGCACAGCCCTCCTGTCTCTTAAGTAGCCCTGGCGACTAGTAAGTACTTTCTTAAGTGGAGCCAGACCTGCCACCCTCGGTAATTTCCACCCATTGATCCTTATCCCTTTTCTTTAGAATAACCATAAACAGATTCTGTGACTCACATAACGTCCTGACAGCCTTTCAGATACATCCAGGAACTTTTATATCCTTCCCTACTTTAAGTTAATAAATACATACAGTTCTTACCTGATCAGTCCCAGACTTTCTCCATAGAATATCACCCCAAAAAACTTCTTGAAAGGTCTGCATCATCCCTTATCAAAATTGATAGGTGAGCAGAATACAGCATTTCATTGTAATAAATTCTTCATGATGTAATGGTTAAGGAAGCTGGTTCACAAGAAATTTGGATAGTTCCCCTCTTATTAGCTATCTGCTCTTGTGAAATTTCTTATCTTTAAGCTTGACTTTTCTTATTCAAAATTGGAGATTAAACTAGTACCCCCTCTGGAGAGCTGGTGTGAGAATTCAGTAGATAACACCTGTAAAGTGCTAAAATGCTTACTTTGTGCTAGCTACTACCGTAGGTCTTATTTCATTTACTTCCTTTGATAGCCTTATAAGATGAACTGAGTTCATCTGCAGTTTAGAGATTTGAAGACTTGAGAGTATATGAAGATCTACTCTGCCTTTCTCTGTGTTGTTTGGTTTTCTAGAGTCACTTTTATCCTTTTGCTCTCCAATACTCTGTACCAGGAGAGGGACCTAGATAGACAAGCCAAGAGCCACCCTTTGACTTCCTGTGGGTTGAACCAGTGGAGAACATTGGCAGATCAGAGGGATGTGAAGGGTGAGACTGGGTGTTTGATCTGTGTCATTGATCCCTTAATTAAAGATCATATTTTTCTGAAGAATGATCTGTATCTCTGTGGTCATATGGCACTGTTATTAGCCTCAGGGTTCTGTACTAGCCTTTGTGAGTCTATCCTCTGTCCACTGCTTTGAGTATTTATTAAAACTTTATTCACCTCTCTTCAGATTGCCAAATTTGAGATGTTTTCTGTTCTCTACCAGTTTTCTCACTGGTACATTGAGACACTGAAAGGTTAGGTAATTAGGCCAAGATGCCACTGTTAACAGTGGCAGAACCAGCATAAAAACCCAGGTAATCTGTCTGAACACTCTAGACTCTCATTCATCAAGCTATACTGCCTCATGTTGTGGGCAGTGATCATTAGCTCTGTCATTTACTCTGCATTATACAAAGTTTAAATGAAGTCTTTTGACTGATATCAGAGGAAGTTGGAATGTACAATGGAAAACTTAGTTTTTATAAAATTTATTATGGTATTTGAAAATACCCTTGTATAACTCTTTTCAGAACTCTAGTGACTGACATCTACTTTAAGTTTGTTTTTTGTTTTTGTTTATTTTTAGTGGTTTCTGGCTAGTTCATGTCTAATAGCGCTGAAATGTCTATAGGTGAGATACATCTGGGAATAATGTTCTAAGAAGCATGGGCTACTCAACTCATAGTCTAAAATGTTCATATTTTTAAGAGTCAATGGCTTGTAAGACCTCTTATTATATTCCAAGGTAGACAGACTTTCACACTAAAAGATCTTACTCATGGAAAAAATAAAGCATATAATCGAAATTTGAAATAAAGTAAATCTTAGAATCCCTTTGTTGTTACTCTCATGCTTTATGAGATATGTTCTTGTCTTTTAAGAAAAATTAAGTTGTGATATTGTATATTATGAAGTTCTGGGGAACATCTTTCCCTTTCAGATTATAATTATATATTAGAGCAACATAAGTAAAGAAAATTGAACTTATCACTTGGTATTAGGCTCTTTACATCCAGATGTATAAAATTTCCACTTGTTAGCTAATTTCTAATTATTAGAATCAGAAAGAAAAGAATACCAAATTTAAAACACAAGTTAATAGCATCTGAGTTGACTGGGAAATTTCGCCCTAGGTCCTATCATAATTGACAGTCTTCTCAGATTCAAACTGTATTCACTTGAATTGATTTTCCTAGAGCATCTTTATTCTTGGATGCAGAAAACTCACATCAAATATGTAATAATCATACACAGGAAAAAATTAAATCAGTTTAACGTGTTTTACTACTTACTGTTGTACTTTTTTTGTCAGTATAAAAGAAAAGTGTCGTTCCTCTCAACTCTGTCCAGTAATGTTTATACTCCTGTGGGAAAATAATTGTAAACATTAGTGTATTTTCAACAATTTTCTTTTTGACATTTTCTTATTTTTTAACTTTGTTAATTGCTTATATGAGGTTATTCTTTATGCTGATAATTACATACTTTTTAAATGACCTTACATACAATTCTTGATTTTTTAAAGTTTTTCTTTTTTAAAAATATTATTTAAGGAGAAAAAGAAAAAAACAGAAAAAAGGTACAAGTAATACAGAATTTCAAAAAAATAAACAGTAGGAAATCACAAGGTAATAGATTACATATTGTCATCTTAGAAATATTTGTTCAAGTTGCAAAATTAAAGCATATAAAGTGGACATTCCAACAGTGAGACTGCAAACAGTTCTGTTCAATGATCCAACAAAACTCAGTAATATGGTTATCTATCTTATACACTTAAACATACATGCAGTTATATCCTTTAGAGCACTTTCTTTTCCTGTCTTTACTGTTCTTGATTAAATCATTCTTAAATTTATCTTAGTGTAATTTTGAGGTAAGAATATCACTTGGTTTGTGTTTAAATCAATCATTTTCCAAAATTTCCTTAGGGTTAAAGACTTTTTATGCAGTTTCAATAGAAACTGCATAATGCACATGTTGGGGGAGTCATTGATAGTCACAGTTTGGACAGATGGAAACATGAGTTAGCTCATGTATTCAGTGTACTTAGCAGACTACAAATCCCATTGTTTGGGTCTATAACTAGTATATGATACATATATAAAAGGAAATGTGAAAAAGTGATACTGGTATTTTTGTGGTACTAGACTGAGCATCAAGTATTGTCTCAAGTATTCTAGGCAAGCACTTTACCACAATAAAAATAATGTGACATTCAATGTCATACTATAAAAGCTGAAATTTGAAGACCAATTTCATCATGTGCTAATATTTAATTATTAATACATTCACATTACTGTGAGTTCTATAGAAATGAAATAATTAAATTTTAAAAATTTAAATAACTGAGTTAGACCCTCATTTCACTCAAGTGAAAGTCTAGTTGAATAAATATAAGATTGGCTATATTACAGAAGTATGTAGCAAATAAGTTTAAACAATAAAATCCTTTGATGTCTGAAAATTTACCTTCATATCTATCTCTTTTCAAAACTATGGTTTAAATTCCAGTGAATTTAGTAGACATGTTGATTATTTCTTCTTTAGGGTTTAATAAACAGAAATTTTGTAATTTTCTGTCATCAGTTAATATAAGAAAGTCACAGAAACATTTTTTGTATATGAAAAAATATTTTCCATTATTTTGTGTCTCCTCAGTCATGACATATCACTTATCTTTTTTTTTAACCAACAAACTGTTTGTCACCCCCTTGAGCTTATATTTTTATTTTCTCCAACAGTAAGAACTCTGTGATCCAATCTTGCTTGTATTTTCCTTACTCTCAAGTTAAACACTGAACTGGGTATTACAGCCACCAGCCCCGTCCCCTTCTCCCCAACTGGGCATTGAGAATGCTCCTGTTCCAGCCTCCTGCATAACTGGGATTATACTCATGCACCACCATATCCATCTTTTCCTCATGGTCTTCATTCTATATTAGTTAGCTTTTCCTTCTCTTTCTGTGTCTCTCCTTTCCTCCTTCCCTCCCACCATTCCTCCTTCTTTTCCATTGGTTTGTTCAACTTTTTAAGAGTGCTTCTCACTGTGGTACCCAGACTGGCCTCAAGCTAGCCATCCTCCTGCCTCAACCTCCAAGTAGCTGAGATTACAGATTTGAACTACTGCACCCAGTTCTGTATAGGAAGCCACACGACAGAACAACTCTCAAGTCCACTTAGTAGGTTGAAACAGCAGACGTTTTCTCTTTCTGTGTATTCTGCTCTGGCCTGGGTGTACTGGGATGTGGCTGGATGCAGCAGGTGGCTTCACTCACTGGCTTAGATCTATCCAGGGTTGTGGAACAGCTGGGTATCTCTCTCTGTGTCTCTCTCTATCTGTCTCTCTCTGTCTCTCTCTCTCTGTCTCTGTCTCTCTCTCTCTGTCTGTCTCTCTCTGTCTCTCTCTCTCTCTCTGTCTCTCTCTCTGTCTGTCTCTGTCTGTCTCTGTCTCTGTCTCTCTCTCTCTCTCTCTCTCTCTCTCTCTCTCTCTCTCTCTCTCTCTCTCTCTCTGGCTTCTTATCCTCTGGCCAGCCTAGACTTGTTCACCTCCTAGCAGAAGGATTCCAGAAGGAAAAAGAGTGAAGCCCCTTATGTCCAAGCATACTATGAACCTCTCTTTTGTCACATTTACCTAAGCATGCCACATGATCTAGTCTGCATTCAAAGGATCAAATGGATTCAACTTCTTGGTGGAGGAGCAGAAAATTGACATGTCAATGGGATGTGCATTCAGTGAGGCTTAAACAATGTGTAGTATAACTGCAGCAAACTACCTTGAGGTTGAACTGGAATTTGGAACAAGGTGTATTTGTCCAAACTCTGCGGTCTTTCTATTTCATGCTGTACCCCTGATTGACAGCTGTCTGTACTAGAGCTAATGATGTCTGCTACACAAATCATTGTAGAAAAAAACAATTCAAACAAGCATGCAGTGAAGGATTGGCCAATACAGTTAATTATAAAACTGGATGAAGGGGTTCTTCCCTCTTCTAGACAATTCAGATGGTCAATATTTGCAGACTGCTGATGTGACTCAGAGTCAAAGAGATTAATATTATAAGACAACAAAATTTTATTTTATTACCATCAGAAGTCTTTTTAAAATTCTTTTCATAGAGGATGCGAAGTGTACCGTCCTCATGGGAGCCCTTTGCTTGCTTCTCTGCCACTGTTTATACCCTCCAATCTCTGCTACACTATCTAATGGTCCCAGAATGGATTTTCCCCACTGAAGAGAATAAGACTTGGTATCTAACAGGTGAATTTGGCAAACTGTGCACTCAATGTAGCCTGTTCCTATCCTCTCTCAGCCTACCAGGAGAGAGAAGGTATCTAGCTCTGTGTACTGGTAGACAGCCAGAGTTCCTCAAGATTGGGCTTGTCAAGCTGACTCAGTGACTCAAGGCAGCACACACCTACCTAACTGTGGGGTGAAATGGCAGAATAGTCTGGGCTTTGGCCAAAACCAACATACTGATAAACTATCAATAATAAACAAGTAATGACTCTTAATTTGTTTGTTTTTTTGTATACATCTTGATTCTTTTTATTTTCCTTTTTTATTAAAAATAAAAATATGAAACAAAAAATGAATAGAAGAAAATACTAAAGATCAAAAAACAAACCCTGATCAAACTGTCAACATCATTTTTCACAAAATTAATATTATGAGTCTTACATTTCTATAAAAATAAAAAAGACTCAACTTTGATAAAGGAATAAAATGACTCTTAATTTGTGTGACACCTAATTGTGGTTTCAAACTTGGGAGAAAAAAAATCCCACTGAAAGGATATAAAAATGTAAAATTGAGCAAGAGGACTCGGAGTGATTGTCTGTGGAGTTGTTTTTTGCAGGGTGGATGATTAAAATGCTTGAAACATGCATAGTGGAGATGGCTTACAGATGTGTGAATGTATTAAAACCTACTGAATGATAATAGTTATTACTGTGTCTTTAGTGTGAGAGTTCGCTGTACGGGACCAAGAGTAGAAATGGTGAGACCGGCCTCCTGCCATTGCTTCAGAGAGTGTTGAATGTTAAATGGGACAATAATGTATGTAAGGTACACTGGACCTGGGACATAGCAAGTGTTTAGTAAACGTTGACTGTTTTAACAACAACAGAGACAATTCCTTCATGCACAAGATTTATAGATGTTTTGCATTTTTCATTACCCACGTAATACTTTTTCCTGTGGTAATGTGTGTGTGTGTGTGTATGACCTGGGTCCAAAAAAGTCCAAATTAGATCTCTTGCAATGGGACTATCTATGAGAAGGGGATATATTGTATACTAGAATAATGAAACTCATTTCATTCCTATATAAAAATCATGTTTTCATATTTTCTTAAATATAAATAAAACTGCATTGAAAAGTTTACCTCATAAATTGTTAATATATTCTTCCACTATGATCAGGCAGGTGTTCTAGAAAAACTGTGAGAACATTGAACAAAACTGTTTGCACTCTCACTGTTGGAAAGTCCACTTTAGGTGCTTCAATTTTGTAACCTGAACTGTCGGTGTCCCAGCTCCCGGCCGGCAGGAAGGACACACGACAAAGTCTGGCGGTGGACAACCTTTTCTTTTATTTTCCTTCTCCGTACAGCCTGCCCCGAAGCCTCTACCGGTCCGCTCCCCGCGGCTCCTTTTGTGCTTCGCTCCGAAGCCTCCTCTGGTCCGCTCCCCGCGGCTCCTTTCGTGCTTCAGTCCCTCTCTCGGGGGTGGAGGCACTGGCTATATATAGGATTAATAGCTAGGCAGACTACCCTGTGAGGCGGGAACTTAGTGGGGTGATAAGAAACAGGTGCCACACAGGCGGGCTCGATGAGAGGGGTAATCCAGCTCAGGCTTTTGTACTTTCCCACAGGCCTCGCAATCACCGCGTCTGATGACTTGACAGTGCCACGGCTCCCAACATCTCCCCCTATTTTATTTTAAATGAATACGCGCATCGCAGCCCGTCCTGGATAGAGTGCAGAGGCCTATGCCCTGATAGGAGGCCCACCAAGGGCTCTCGGCGTCGGCCCGGGTCGGCCGTCCCCGAGTCTGCCGAGGCCCCGAGGCCCTCGTCCTTTTTTCTAGGGCCAGGAATGAACCGGACGGAACCTGGTTGCACATAGGCATGCACTCATTTCTCTCCACGAATCCCCTCGGAGAGAAATTTATCTAACAATCCAGCGGCTTTCGAGCGGAACGGGGTAGGGCCTGGCTTAGGTTGAGTCGTGCTGGGGAGGCACGCTCTTACCCGTCATTGACTCATCCACCCTGCTACATGTTGTTGTCTAGGGAGGAGAATGTGGGAAGCCTGTCACTTTTAAACGCGGTCGTAGGCCATGCGAGCGAGCCATGCGTATGCCTGAGGATCTTTTTGTCCATTTTGGGCTACCGCTATTTCTATTCATCTTGTTGGTTGGTCTGTGATGGATCTCCGGCAGGGCAGGTCTGATCTTCAGTCGAGGGCTTTGTCGCGTCAACCTCTCTGGGACCAACAGTGGTTTTCGTCCCGGTTCCTGCAGAAAGACACAAACCGCGCCTCGGCTTCCTCTTTTGTATCTCTGCCCTCCTTGACGGACCCTTCTCGGGAGCTTCCTGACTGTGCCTGTTCAAACACCTCGCATACTTCTACAAGTTCTTGAGAGCTCCCCCCGTAACTACCCTCACTCTTTAGGCACGTGTGTATCATTTCCCACAACGGACGAGCAGAGACTGAAGCTCTACCCTCCCGTTCTGCTAGGGAAAGGTCTCTGCCCAACTTCTCCCAGGAGGGCAGGTTTACATGCCCTGTAGGCAGAAACCAGGGAGCAAAGCTGTCAATCTCTGCAAGGAAATTTTCTAAAGTCTTACGCCCCACCTTGAGGTCCTTGGACTTTAGGAGTCTCCGAAGGACCAACACCAAGGCTGTGTATCTTTACTTGGCATGTTTCCCATTTTTAATATATCTTCTGTTATTTTTACTTGTATGTTTATGTTTTACACTCTTTTATTACCTTAAGTTCTGGTGTTATGTTTCATACTCACCGCGTGAGGCCCAAGAAACCCGCCACTTACGCGTGAGGTTGAGAGGAGTCTACAAACCCTGTAGGTGCGCGCCACCCAGGGCCCAGGCTTATCCTCTACTCACCTGTCTTGCAGCACTGTACTGGAGCGTTGTCCACTTCACGTCTCGGGGGTGATCAGTCCCCGTGCGGGCCTCCAAATGTCGGTGTCCCAGCTCCCGGCCGGCAGGAAGGACACACGACAAAGTCTGGCGGTGGACAACCTTTTCTTTTATTTTCCTTCTCCGTACAGCCTGCCCCGAAGCCTCTACCGGTCCGCTCCCCGCGGCTCCTTTTGTGCTTCGCTCCGAAGCCTCCTCTGGTCCGCTCCCCGCGGCTCCTTTCGTGCTTCAGTCCCTCTCTCGGGGGTGGAGGCACTGGCTATATATAGGATTAATAGCTAGGCAGACTACCCTGTGAGGCGGGAACTTAGTGGGGTGATAAGAAACAGGTGCCACACAGGCGGGCTCGATGAGAGGGGTAATCCAGCTCAGGCTTTTGTACTTTCCCACAGGCCTCGCAATCACCGCGTCTGATGACTTGACAGTGCCACGGCTCCCAACACTGAACAACTATTTCTAAGATGAGAATATGTAATCTATTAACTAGTGATTTCTTACTGTTTATTTTTTAAATTTTATATTACTTATACCCTTTTTGGTTTTTTTTCCTTTTTCTCCTTAAATAAAAAAAAAAGAGACTATGGACCTATAATAATATATCCCATTTGGTTGTTGTAGAAATCCAGTTATTTACTCATACTTATGAAGGAGGGAAAGATTAAAAGGTAAAGGAATTGCCCATATTCCTGATTATCACGTGACTCTTGATACTTTTTTAGTGAAAATGGCTTCAAATATCCCTCATTTTCAGTGGAAAAACTACAGGAATTTTCTGGTAATGCTCATTCTTTTTCTGTGAGCAGAAAGATGGCTAAGGAAAGATGTATAGAGTGGTTCTTCAGAGTACATAAATCCCAATGGTATGCAGTGTGATGATTTGGGAAAAACATTTCAAAATATCTAATTATATTTCATCTTTTTCACATACATTTAATAGTTTGCCTGAAGTTTTAGTACAGGAGTACGTATATGTGATTTCTACATAAATTAACATTAGAGAACTGTGGTCTGTGTTTTTTGAAAGCAGTGTGTTATTCTAATAGAGAATAATTGTGTTTGATACCACAATTAAGAAAGTCCTAAAACTTTCCTAAATGATACAGAGGCAAGTAGAGAACTATTCAGAGAAATATAGATTTAATGTCATTGTGGGTGCCCACAATCAAGTCAATAAGACATATTACACATTTAGCACATTACAATTTGAGGGAACAATGAGTTGTTGTCCAAATTCTATGTTAAACAGTTCCAGAGATTTTTAGGAGGCAAAGCAAAGATGGCGGATAGATAACAGCTGGCTACAGAGGCTCCCTGAGATAATCAACTTAGAATTCAACATAATACAGCATGGGGAGCCCCAAGCTGAGGGAGATGAATTCACTCGTCCCAAGAAGAAACTAAGATGAGAAGAACCAATCAAACATACAGTCCCAGTGCTACTATTGGAACAGTTAAAGTTTCAGTGCTCCCACTGCAGTGGGTGACTTGCCAAGCCATCCAAGGTCCACTGCTTTGACTCACTCGAGGTGCAGTCACACTGAGGTCAGGGGTCATCCAGCCAAACAGAGAGCTGAGCTGGCAGGGAGCCTGCATCAAACTGTGGTGAGTGATGGGAGTGGGGCCATTCCACAGAATGGCAGACAACATTCTTGGACCGGGCAGGACTGGCAAGTACAAAGGGCAGCAGTGACTTCAGCCATTTGTTCCCTTCCCAAACAGGATTGGTGGAGTGAGTTAGGCCTGGGTCACACGACCTGGCTGAGACCCAATAGGTTATCTGAAATCAGTTCCCTACAGCAGTACACACCAACGCAGTGAAGCCTCAGAAATTTGACTGACCCAGAGGAGAGGCAACCCACAATAATATAGTACAGGCCTCAGCAGTGTGACTGATCTATAGGGGAGGGGCCAGCATATGCTGCCCCTGTTTGCAACTCACTAGCACACTGCAGTGGGAAGGGTCACTTAGCCAGCATGCTTCAGAAGAATTGTAACCAACAAAGATAGAAACTGGGGCCTCTTGGAAGAAGCAAAAAGATGGGAAGAGGAAGCAACAACAAAAAGTCCCCAGGTTCCAATCTTGAGAACATTGACCCAGGACAGGTAAATACAAAGGAGAATGAGAACAGCAAACATGCAATATCAGACACAGCACCAGTGGACATAAAGAGATATATTCAGGACCTCATAGACGAGTTCAAAAGGGAAATATTTAGCCAAGTAAAGCAAGGTATAAGATTAATAAAAGAGATGCTAAGCCCCCCTCAAGGAGACACAGACAGAAGAAGGGAGGAACTCAAACAAATGAGAGAACCATTTGATGAAGCATATAAAGTAAATATAGAATACATGAAACAGATTCAAAGAGATTACCAGGAAATTAAAAACTCTATGGAAAGATGGCAGATCTGCTTGAAAGAAACTAAAGATAGATTATCCAAACTGGAGGACAGGTTTGCAGTGTGGAATTATGAAAGGAAAAACTTTTTTAAAATAACAAGGAAACAAGCAGTAACAATACAAAGGCTGGAAGACAACAAGAGGATCTATAACTTGAGAATAAAGAATGTTAATGAAGAAGCAGGGGTACAAACAAAGGAACTACAAAGGCTCTTCCCAGAAATAATTACGGAAAACTTCCTAAACATAAGAAAAGGAAATGATATGAAGATATTTGAGGCATAGAGAACTCCATCCACCTACAACCAAAACAGAGCCTCACCCAGGCATATAATATTCCAAGATACCAGAAATTCAATATAAGATCAGAATCTTAAAAGCTGTTAGAAATAAGAAACAGATAATCTATAAAAGCCGATCAGAATAACGGCAGACTTCTTGACACAAACCATCAAGTCAAGAAGAGCCTGGAGTGAAATATTCCAAGCCCTGAAAGAAAATAACCTCCAGCCCAAATTGATATACCCTGATAAACTGTCTCTAGAAATTAATGGAGAAACAAGATTCTTCCAAGACAAAGAGGAACTTGGGAAATTCGCACCCACCAGTCCAACTCTACAGAGAATACTGCAGGGCATTCTAGAGAGAGAGAAAACTATTAGGATTCCAGGAAGAGTGGCAGAGCAGCCTCAGTGAATGGAGCAGAAAACAGAATGAAGAAGATAAGTAGACAACTGATGGCAAAAAAAGAGCATACAGAAATGAGGCAGAGAAGGTTGGTTATAATTTCTAATACAGATGGCCTTGATACACTAAATTAAAAAAAAAACCACGCATGGAGTAGATCAGGAGGCAGGGTCCACCGAGATGCTATTTACAGGAAATATAATTAACATGAAAAAGAGTACATGGACTGAAAATCAAATATGAGAAAACAATACTCTATGTGACAGAGAACCAGAGAGTAATAGGGGCAACTAGACCAGTATTTGTGGATAGGTTGGAAAGACAGGCTTTAATAGGTAAAGGAATACAATTAGAGATCAAGTCCAGGAGAGAGAAGGTTCAAAACCACTTAGGTAAATAGCAGGTTGCCCCCACCCACCCAATTTAAAACCAAGGGTCTTGGTGAGACCCAAAAATGTACAGTGTACCCTGGGGAAGTGAAAGGGGAGGGAGAGTCTTAAAAAAGATGGCAGAAGATACTGTTAATAGTGTATCAGGATTTAAAACCCACATTACTTGCACCACTCTGCTTAGATAGATTTTATTCTGTCCCAGTTTGTCTACTTGCATTAGATTTGAGGGCACAGACAGCTATCCCAAAAACATCAGGATATAGCACAGTAATCATCTTTAATTTCCTATTATCTTAATCTGGAGCCCTGTATGACTTACACTGTTTTATCATGACTGACTTTAGTTAAATGTGGTTTGTTTGATTGCTGTTTGGTATTGACATATTTTATTCAAAACTGATATGATTGATAATATCAAGTCTGAGAGTACAGGCAACTACACTGAAGACGACAATCCAGTATACAATCCGGTTTGATAACTGCCTGTTTTTGAAGTTCTACACTATATAAAAAGTTGTATTTTATTAATACTGTTATGTACTGACATATTCAGTTATACTATGTCTGATGATATTGCCAGTTCTATTGGAGATAACAAGGGACAACACAGGAACTATGGTAGAACTCCTTATACAATGGTCTTATATGTCTTTATCATTTATGTGTTTATAGGAATATGTTTTGTTTTGTCTTGCTTTGTTTTGTTTCTCCCTCTCATATAGAAAGTATAGAAATACATGTTAAGATTCATGCATGTGTAGAATCTATAAACAGTTTATGGGAACTGATCTTATGACACATGATGAAATAAACAGATGCTTTGAAGAAAAAGAGACACTAAAGTACCCAGTGCTGATCCTGGAGTGTCATAATGTGAAACCCAGCAATAGTATTATTTTTTGTTCAGAGTGATATTAGCCTGCTTGGGTTTGTTCAATCTCAACATAATTGAAGATATGGATAACTGCTTGTATGCTTAAGTGTAATAGATTGATAACCATATTTCTAAGTTTTTGATGGTTAGTTGAACAGAACTGGTTGCAGTCTCACTGTTTGAATCCCCACTTTATATGCTCTACTTTAGTATCTTGAATAACTATTTGTAAGAGGACAACCTGTAATCATAAACTCGTGATTTCTTACTGTTTATTTTTTTCTTTGAAAGTATGTATTATTTCTACCCATTTGTTTTGTTTAGTCTTTCTTTAAATACAATTTTTAAAAAAAGATACTACAACACTTCCAGAAAAATGCGAAATTTTTTCACTCCTAAAAGGATGTGACACCATTGGCATCCTATTGTGACATTTAATAGTTTATTTAACAAGTAAGATTTCCTGTTAAACCCAGAATCTTAATGCTGCAGTTTAAGTAAATCTTTCCACACTATCTTTTCCATGAAGTTTATGTTCTTTTCATGGATTTTTGATCTCAGATCTAGGGTCTTTCTGCAATTGTATGCAAAACTGTAAGATGTGCATTTTCCTGGGGTAAAGCTCCTTAATTTTTTAAAACTATCCCCGTGTCCCCACACAAAAGCTTCTAAAAATTGCCTTTTAACATATAACCCCTTAAAAAAGACAAAAAAAAACATATAACCCCTTACAGGTCACAGTCCTCTTCAGTTATATTTTGTGCAGCTACAATATTACACATTCCCCCAGCAGAGTCTCCACGTCACAGAGCCTCTCAGTGTCTCCTTCCTTTTAGCTCAGAAGAGACCAGGCTGTACCAGTCTCAGGTCTTCCTCCTCCTACAGGTTTCCTGACACTTCTCCAAATGCATGAAAATCCCACTCATTTTCCTTAGCTTTTTCTCATGGCTTTATTTTTTTTCAGCACTGTATCTCCATGGCTCTTCTTTGTGCCATTTTATTGTGGATCTAAATTAGCATTAGGATGTTAGTGGAAATAATTACAGTGGAAATAAAATAATTAAATGGGAAGATATACTTTAGAGTGATCCACATGTTTTACATATGTTACTCCTTTAATTCTAGAAACCGTGCTAGAATGTAGGCATTATTGTCATCCTCTTGCTCTCCTTCTCTTGGATATATGAGAAAGACACACTTTACTATGAAGTCAAATGAAAAAACAAATTAATTTCATTGGAAAAAAATCGTGTGTGTGTGTGTGTGTGTGTGTGTGTGTGTGTGTTTGCACATTTTTTGGTGCTGGGGATCAAACCCAGAGCCTCACACTTTAGGCAAGTATTATACTACTGATCTACATCCCCATCCCTCATCAAAAATATTTGTACCTATAGTTAGTCTGCTAATTGTTTTTCAAAGCATATTTTTCTAAGAAAAAGTAGCAGCGGATAAGAAGATGGTACCACTACACAGCTACCCCCCCCCACACACACTTTTTTCCCCAGCTAACGCTCTTGATATAAGTAAGGGTCTTTGTGTTTTATTCATGTTTTCCAGAAATACATGTGATAACTGGTGCATCAAAGAAACACAATAAAAGTTGCTTGAATGAATGAATTAATCCAGTACCTACTTATCCCAGACATAGTAGATAAACACTGCATACAGTAATACATTTTATTAAGGCAAGTAGTATGCATTCTCTCCATTTTATAGTTTAGGAAACTGAGTCTAACAGATTAATTTGTATCAGACCACAGCTATAAGTGACAAAACCATTAGGTAAAGACATTTTATTGACATTTTAAAATTCTTGCTCTTTCTGGTAACCATATCAGTGGTGCATCTTTTTTAAAAGTAAGACAAAAACTTGCTATTAGAAAAGTTACTATAATTTTGAGATATTCAATAGATAACCAAATTGAAATTACAAATCAGAAATTTCTTTTTTACTGTTTTCCGTTCCTGGGAAAGGGTAACAATGTAGCTAACCTGTGGTGTACATGTGATCAACAACAAAATTCCAGTATGACTGGCAGATACATGTTTAATATCCATAATAATACAAATTACCAAGGCTTTGGCCTCAAGCCATATATGAGCAGATTATATATGTAGGAAATATTAACATCTCCCTGTATTGTCATACTCATGCTTTTCCTTAAGCATTAATAAATTCTCATAAAACACATTTTACTATAATCATAAAATAGTTATGGCATTTCTGAAAACATTAAAAATTTTCTATTTTTGGTCAATATTAATATTTTAGGGGCCAGAGATTTAGCTTAGCAGCATAAGCGCCTGCCTGACAAGTGTGAGGTCATGAGTTCGATCCCCACTACCGAAAAAAACCCACACAAAACTAAAATTTCATAACATTTGACTTAATAGTCAAATGTTTAGTAACATTCTTTATTAATTTTGAGTTGTTCATAATTTCTATGTTAAAGGTAATAATGTTAGTTAACAATAGGTTTTAATTTTTGCATTTTAAAAATATGAAATATTCTGTGAATTTTCCTAGGACAAATGCGTTTTGTAGTGAACTTGCTACCCACAATAGCACCCTATTATCTTTTAAAGTCACTATCTTGAACAGTGTTTTTAGAAAGTATATCTATACAATGTTAAATAGTAATAATTTTATAATTTTCACAGTTTTAATAGACATTTAATATTTTTATGAGTCAATCATTGTAAAGTTAAATGTAACTGAGGATTTGGTTTAATTTTAATCATAATATTTTATTTTAGTGATACATATCATCACTGAGACATAGTAGTAATTTAGGGAGAAAATATAAGGAACATTTTATCTTCTAAGCCAATATCTCTCCTATAGTAAGTAAATGAATTTTTCAAAAATTTAGCAAATCAAATTTCTGCATCAGTGTCTTAATATTAGAAAGTTAAATTATATACATTACACAAAATATATGTATGTCTAACTATATGATATTATTATTGCTGCTGTTGTTTATTATTATTTTGGTACCAGGACCTCAATCTTGCCAGGCAGGCACTGTGCCCTGAGCTATATCTCCAGCCCACAATATGTTATTTTTAAATTATGCAAAATTAGAATTTTTTATGATCTCAAGGAAAGGAAAGGGGCATATTTCAAATAGGAAAAAAAAGAGGCTTCACTCTACCATGTCATAGCAAGACAAGATTTGTAAGACCCACTTTCAGATTTAATATTTTCATCTATAGACTTACGTGGTATTCTGATCGCTTGACTAATAAAAAGCCTTCAAAGTACAAAGGTAGAGCAGTCATCTTTAATCTTTCTTGGAAGATCCTTCGAGGGGCTGGTTTTGGGGGCTTGTTAGCCATCATTGCTTCTTGGTGTGTGGTTTGGTTTCAACTGTAGCCTCTCTCAAACAAAATGAAATCTTTCGTGGTGAAAGGCAAAGACAACTGTTCAAAGAGGAAGTTCTAACTTTCTTTATAACCACCAGCGTTTCCACCAACAGGACACACACACACACACACACACACACACACACACACACACACAGACTTTTTTTCCCCTTTACTTTCTGTGAACCAGGAAAGGACAAGCATAGGAGCAATGTTTAGAGAGCAATCTCTAAATTACAAATACTTAGATTTCGAGTAGCAAAATAAACAGAAGATTAACATCACCTGGGGATGAAAGAAACAGGTGTGGAGATCATGTACTTTCTGGGAGACATCAAGGACACATTCAGGTTTTCTTTCTTCTTTTCTTTGTTTATTGTTGCCTGTATGTCTTGAAGATATGACTCGAATAAATTCTACTTCATTAAAAATTACCTCCTGAGATATTTCTATTAGTACTGATTCTGTTTATTAAATATTTCAGAACCAAGCTTTGATTAAGTTTAAAAATGAAATGGTTTTATGTACCTTGTGTCCATTTTAATGGTTTACTAAATATACACAATAGTTATGGGATCAGGGCATTTTCCACTTTTTTGTCAGTAGGTATTTTTAGTACATGAGTATCTATGAATATTTGGCAAAAATATCTATCAGAGAACGCTGTAAATTTTCATTTTATTTTGTTCTCTCAGGCATTCTGACCTGTGGATCACTGATCCATAGCTGGGGTTCCCACAGTTGGTTACTAAGATTCACAGAGCTGTGCTGGGATCAAGCTACACTCAGCAGTTATAGGAGAAACACTACAGTCCTTCAGAAACTCATTTGATTCAGTTCAGTGCAGGGGACAGTAAGAGAGGAACATCAGAAAAAAGCCTGATGGCTTCTGCTGGTGCACTGAGAATTCACTGTTGCCTGCTTTACCCTTGGTGTAAGAACTACCCTAAATTTAGGATAATGTGGGCCCAAAAAGACCAACCTCTTCTCAGAAATCAAAGCAAGACAGGAATTCTCAATCTCATCCTCCTTCCCTAAGGGAGAGACCCTGCAGATTCTCCCAGTAGTGTGGGTCCCTCTGAATCATTAGGTACTGATGAGGGAAGTCAAATCATATGTAATTCAGTTTTAACAAACCAGTAACCTAGAGTTCAGATATATAATCAAAATGAAAACCGTAGGAATTCAAAATTCAAAATTGGAACTTTGACTTCATAATATGCCTAGATTTGTCTTCTTACTACAGACTTTCCAATAATAAAATATGTGTTCATCTGGATTTATCTTTCTCTTTTTACGGCACTGGGGATGAAACCTAGGTCCATGCACATGTAAGACAAGTGCTCTACCACTGAGCCATTCCCCACTCCAACTGGATTTTTTTTTGTACTGGGAATCAAACTCAAGACCTTGTGCAGGGCAGCAGGTGCTGTACCACTCAGTGGAATTCCCAGCCCTGGGTTTTTAAAAAACAAAATCATTACTAGTTTTTAGTTTCAGTGTACTAAGAAAATGAGTTGAATGACTTAGGAAAGCTTCTTGATTTGATAAATGACCTGATCCAGTGTTTGGAAGCTGGTGGACTACAGGAAGTGAGACAAAGAATGAGAACTGAGGAATGCACAGGCGGAGGCCAAAGGAGACGGGGTGCTGGGAACCATCAGTGGAAAGAACGTGGAGAAATCAGACTCTGGCTTTGTGACTATAAAGTTGTATGAGAAACCCCAGCAGATAGTAACACAGGAATATTTTTTTGAAATTACCATCTGGTTAATTATATGTTTTATATCTTTTTAAAAAGTAAGCCAAAAGGGGGAAAAAAAACATTCTCAGACTTCAGTGTGTTGGATTGTAAGCATAATTTATCCTCAGTGGACCAAGCACCAAATTATGTTCCTCCCTTCACAAAAATCCCCAAAGAATGCAAAAGTCTGACCTAAACATTATTAGACAGTTAAACCTGTCAGTAAGTCCCAAAACCTCCTTACATATATCTCAAAAGTAATTCCCTAGTTTCCACTATTTTTCTTATCTGACTTATTTAAAATGCAGCTTAAAGTTACTCTTTGCTTAAAAACATTTGATAGATTCTGTTTTTTATTCATTCGTGTTTTCATTGAACACTACATATTGAAGTTCACAATATGTCCAACCAGATGCACAAGGTCTTTCATAATAAGGCCTTTTTAAACCAAGATACCCTCTGTTCTGGTAATTTTGCTTACTCTCAGGGATCTCAAAACCTCTGCTACCTTCTCACACGTTTTTCAGTCCCTTGCACTCTGTTCATTTGCTTCTTTTGCCTTGGTTTATCTGTGATCCTTCAAGACCCAGGTGGAAGCTGTCCTTGACTATGAAGAGTTGCTGATTTCCTGAAGCCTTCTGTGTGCTTACATCTTCTGCATTCCCATAGCACACTTTTATTAAAAATATTTGCCTTCATATATTATTATCAGTATATAGAAATTTCATGTTACCCACTAATTTCTCTTCTAGGATCTTCCTAAAAGTGTTAAAAGACATCATATTACAAAGATACAAGCATACTCATGTTTATAGCAACACAACTCATAATAGCTAAACCTTTGAAGTAGCCTATATGTCCATAAACAGATGAATGGATAAAAATTATCATATATACAAATATGTACATATATATTAGCCATAAAAAGGACAAATTTAAGTAATTTGTAGAAAAATCAATGTACCTTAAGATTACAGTGTTGTGAAAATGACATAAATCAGAGACAGAAGCTTAAATATAGCAGTTTCTATCATGAGAAATCCAAAGTATAAATAATTTAAAATGCAAATAAAGGATAGATAATATGGGGGAGGAAATGAGGGAGGAGGGAGAGAGGGAAGAGGAAGTGACAAGGATTAAGAGGTGGTATATATGGATACTAACTCCGCAGGATGAATAGAGACTATTCATTATGTATTGAAAATATATACTAATTTAAAAATGAGTGCTACATAGAAAACATAAAGCTATTTATATGTTTGCTTATCATTGTTAAACACCATCACCTGTGGATTTCTTCACAAATTCATACACCTACTGTGGCCAAAGCTTTCTGTCACATCTGTGCCTTTTTAATGCATCAAGTGAATTGAGGAAATGGTCCCCAGTCAGACACATTAACCTCATACATTACAAAAACTATTTACTGATATACATTCTGTATCTATAGGAAACTGATTTTTCCAAAAGGACAGGTTGTGTAACATTTATTTAGTGAATAACATCTAACTCAAATGTATGATTCTAATTTGATGAGGTTTAACTTCCATTCTGACAGGCATTCACTTTTTTCTGGTATATCTGACCACCTATAATTTTTTTATTGCACTGTAGAAAAATCATTTTGCTATCAAACTATTAGAAATTTGTGAAAGTCTGTTGGGAACCGCTGAAGCCGGATATCATCACATGTTGGGGGCTGCAGCAAGGCCTTCCTGAGAACAAAGAGCACCCGGGGTGAGCCACAGTGATCAAACTCCTCCAGCCCCACGAACACCAGAACACCAAGCCGAGAGATGGGTTGCTAGGCAAAGGGTGTCCCATGACATTATCTTGCTAGATATATAAATCAACACAGCATTTGCTGAGCAGTTCCTTTTCTTACCATCAGGAGAGGGGGCTCCATCTGACCTCGACTTTTGTCTCTTGTATCCTACCTCTTCCCACCAAAATGTGGATCTGCAGCTGGACGTGGCACAAGCACAACTGTTACAGCAATCGGCATCATCTGTGTCATTATTGTAAGTCAGGATATATGCAAATGTAACTCAATGTCTTGGGATATAGTATAAGAATAATTAATATAAACCCAAAATTTATATTAATTATAAATTAATTATATTTATCTGCTCTTTTGAATCATCTGTATCCTAATACCCCTGGAGTCACTGAGGGTGCAATCCTTAGGGCTCTCTGAGTTACTTTACTGTCTATTCAGGAGAAATGAGTCAGTAAACAAGTCTTAATATAGGCCTTCCAATCATCCTGTCAACTGTGAACTGCCTTCGTAGCAGATACTTTTTGCCTGAATTAGTGATTATAAATTCTGTCTTATGTCATTGATCCCTGGTCCATAAAGTAAAAACATATTTCAATGCTTAGGATGTCCCATAGTCTGATTACCTTTTGCCAAAATTAACAGTTTTCAGTATCAGACAAAGTTTGTCATAAACACTATTTCTGCCCCATGTCTTTGCTGACAGTTTATCTTCCCATATCCTCTGCCTTTGGAATAGTCTCTTGCTTTTAGGTACTGCCTGCAAGGTAAGTTTTGAAATTTTATCATTTATAAGTTCCTAGTCTCTTGAATTTACAAATTATATTTAATTAAAAGTGACCCAGGGCTGGGGAATAGCTCAGTGGCACA